GTATTATTAGTTATTCATTTTGTAGGATTCAAGTTTCTGTGACCATTAAGTTGTTTTTTTTTTTTCATTAAAAAGGGGATATCAACAATTGTCCATGTTTGTGATAATACTAAATAAAAATTTTTGTAAACAAACCCAGCAGACACAATATACTCAACTTTTAGCATCCTTAAACCCCCCTCATGTCCTTAGACACTTTTTTTAATTGCAGCATTTTTTCATCTTATTTGAGATATTATTATTTGAGACATGTAAATGCTGACCCTGGCTAAGTGCTGGAGTGTGCAGATGAAAAGTTTCAGAAAAATTGCTTCTGCCCTTTCGAATGTCAAATCAAAATGTTTTTTTTCCCTTGTTTTTTTTATTTTTACTTTTACAATGTCTGTTCCTCATAATTTGCTGAAAAGCTGTTACAGTACAGAAAAGCTATTTTTTTCTAAAAAAAAAAAAAAACTGTTAGGGAATATTATGCACCACTAAGCTTGTTCGGGGCTTATCTGTATTAGAGCAAATAAAATATAAAGGAACTTTACATAGAGATGCAGTCAGATTGGTTCATAATCCATACTGTATGTATTGGTAATGTGCTGTCTCTTTTTAGCTTATCTCTTACTCCTAAGAGACCCAGGATAAGTTATTCTGAAACAAATAATCAATACAACTATGAGATGCTCAAACTGGTCTCAAGAGACGAGATTAAGTAAAAGTTGAGCATCACCTCTTTCCTATACGCAGTCTGTGTTGTAGAGCTGAAAATGCAGCGGTTTGATCTAATCTCTGCACATGCTTTTGTTTTTCTTGATTATCCACCACTGTTAAACATGCGTTTAAAAACATGAAACCTGATGGAAAAGGTACTAAAATATTTTCTGTCCATGCAGCAAGATAATGCTGAACTGATTTAATAATTTAACAGTGTTTAAAGATGGAGACTTAAAACAAGAATGTAAGTCTTAGAAGAATTCAGAAGAACTAGCTGTGGTTGTTTTATTTCTATCTGACTGCTCAGTAGGATGGATGTCCATGCTACTTAAATATATCCGTGCTCTATCTGATTGCTCACGTGCAAGACGACTGAACTGACAAAGACTCCTGGAAAGGTTTCAATACATCTTCAAAAAAAACAACAAAAGTCTGGTTACCTTCCAATTTACATCTGTTTTCTGGTTGCCATGACCCGGATTACTGATCAAACACGTATAAATATGTATTTTTATCTTGGTAAAAAAACAGCTAAATGCTTGTACAGCCTAAATTTTTGTAGCAAAATTTAAATTTGTATAGAAACCTCTGTGGAGGACAAAATACTTTGTCAAAGGTATGTTTTGGTAAAAGAAATCAAAACAAAAAAAGCAGTCGGGGTTTGTTGGAGAATTTGTACAAAATGAAAGTAAGAACTGTAACGCAGATCATCTGCATCAGAGTGCAAACTGACAAAGTCTTTGCTCTGACATACAGAGTAAACCTACAGGTGTTTACCGTACAGGACAGGAGAACAAACATTTTCACAAGGCAAATTGCAAAAAATAGCTTTCGAGCAAGTTGCTGTGAGAACTGATTCCCTTATCTATCTCCTGCAGCTGTAAAAATCTGCTCGTGTCGATGACTATCAGTGATGCAAGAAAGAGAAAGTCATTTAACATACAGTAGGTTCCATAGGAATATAAAAAATAAACCTTACTTATCATCAAATGGCACAACAACCAATCAGTGATGGTTTCATTTTCTGACTAATTAGGGGAAAGTTTGCAACACTTTCCTCTCTGAAACCCCTTTCAACATTGAGAATAAAACCATTTTAGCTCTGTCCAACTTTCTTTCATGTTTTATGAAATTTAAGACGCCCGTAGACTGTTTTGAAAATGTTAAAATCTTTCCACCTTCATAGCCAATTACATTTCTTGGTGACGAGTGACCATAAACCATGATTCACAATGCTGCTGTCACTATCGTATTCCTTTTGTTAAGGTTCATCCCACAGTCTGTTGCTGCTGTTTGATGATTTCATATACTAGGGTTAACAAATTAAAGTAACTAATCCATAAACAAAAAAAATATTTTTTTTATCTTATTTCAGAAGTAGCCAGTATTGTTGATATGCATTTAAAACCAGTTGATTTCAAATACTGATTTGCTGCTTTCCATGTTTACATTCCTATGAATGTTTCAACAGTGCGTAATATTATTGTTACTTTTCTTGAATTTTTTAAATAGAAGAATTTTTAAAACAAAAGCGTAATATTGGTTCCATGGATGATGGAATTGTGAGCAGAATCAGTTTTATTTTGGCTAACCACAGTGTAAAGACTTAACATTGACTGCATAACCTGCCCTTTTACATCAGTGTTCAATTTTGTGGGTTAGAATGTATGTACCAGCATCTAAAATATTATTGTATTGTTAGATAATACAGACATTTTTGTACTTTTGAAGAACAGAGGAGTAATTACTGAAATACAGTCTATATTACCAGGAAACTAAAGAAAGCTACTGTAACTGTTAGTTGTAGAAGTGTTCTGTTTGATTAATTAGCCAATGTTCCATTGGCTTTTTAAATCAAGGTTCGATTTGAAACAGCCAGTGGCTGCAATCTCAATAAACATTACATCTAGTTATCATATCAATGATGTGCCTCAGATAATTTAGAGCACATGGTGTGCTGTAAGCCACTGAACACATCTAGGATTTTTTCTCAGTCGTTCAATGGTCTTTCTCTATATAATTATGAAGCAGAATTTTAGAGGAATCATACATATTGAAAGGAAGGAGATGAATGTGTAAAACTTTGTATTCATTTTCATTAATGTTTTTTTTTACATATTTTACTTTTTGCCTTACAAATAAAAAAATACAACAGCCCAGTTGGAGAACAAATATTTGATTTTGCAGTTTTACATATTTGTTAAGTATGTAGAAGTCTTTCATTTTTATCATAGGTGATCTTTATCTGTGGGGATTTAATCCAAAAAATAATCTAGAAAATCAGATTGTGTGATTTTAAGCAATTAATATGCATTTTCTTACATGACATGATATAAGTATTAAGCACATTACAGAAACAAAACTGAATATTTGACACCTTTTTTTGTTGCAATTACAAATATCAGACATTCTCAGTAGTTTTTAAAAAGGTGTGCACAGAGAATTTGGACCTGATCCAGGTTCAGGGCTGTCACCGGGCAATGCAAACCTTAAGCTCACTCCAAAGAAATTTCGATTGAGTTCAGGCCTGCAGACTTGGTTCAACAACCCCAGGACCTTGAAATGATTCTTAGTTGATGTGGCTATATGCTTTAAGTTGTTGTCATGCTTCATAGTGTGTTGCTAACATTCTTCTTTTAGACTGTGGTCTCAGCTCTATTAAGGTTATTGATCAGGTCTTGGTATGTAGTTCTGAGCTTATGCCTTATCTTTCTTATATTTGGTGATGCCCCATGAGGTGTGATGCTGCAACAGTTGTTTCCTTCTCATGAAGCTGCTAGTCTTTTTTTTCTGTAGCTTATCACAGTCTTGTCCAGGTCTATTTTATCCGTGCTGTCCTTACACAGCTTTCTGGTTTTGGTCATTTCCGGGGATTGGAACTTGTTTAATTGATTTAATCTGTTGACAATAGGCATTGGCTGGTATGAAATTTTGATTTTGATAACCTGCAACAAAACTATTACGGTTTCAATGTATTATGTTTAAAGCTCTATTTTAAAAAAAGTATGAATTTAAAAAGAAAAACAAATTTAATTCTTGCTGAATTATGGGCTGAGCCTCAGCACAAACTCATACAGGACTTGTTGGTGCGAGCTGTATTTATATCACAGGAGTGATCCCAAAGTTTTCTTGCTTGAAGGCTCTCACTCTCATTCAAGGGCAAATTCAAATTTATGAATTTTGACACCTGTATATAGACGGATATATGCAAATAGATGCTGAAAAATTATCAAATGTGTATGAAGAAGTGTAGTAGAGGACTGGTTGACAAGTTGTTTCCAGCACAACCAGCAAGCTGTCTGCCTTGGTAACAGGTCAATAGTAATTGTTTCGCAAATCCTGGATAGTAAAGGTATCTTATGCATTATATTAGCTCTATTTCTACAAAAAAAAAAAAAAAAAAGAACGCTTATATGTTGGAATGGTAAGAGAGAAAACTTCGGCAATTTTGAAACTTTACCTTTTTCATACCGAGGTGTACAATAATTTAAAACTGATAACTAGCCCTAGTCTAATAGACAGGTGTCTTTTATGAGTTTAAGGATACATACATCTGCAGCTAATATAGATCATGATTTGCAAGAGGGAAACTAGAAAATTTAGCACCATATCAAATATTTTTCTCTCCATTGTAGTTTAAGTTGCAAGAAAATGCATGTTTCTCTCTGGCTTAATAGATGAGCAGACTAATATAAATTATAAAGTCAGATTCAGACAAAATATTTAATAGTCCTTTTATATAGAAAACTTCAAATTTTAAAGGACAACAATAAAGATGTGGATCTAGAAGTGTTTTGTCCATCCCCATTCTTTTGTGGCACAGGATGTGGACGGTATTCTAAGGATTTTAGATGACCATCTAATATTTCAACCTAGTCATCCAGAAAGGGAAGTACACTGATCCGGAGGACAAGACTTGATACATAAAGCTGTCCCTTGTGATAAGTTTTTTGACAGCAGATACTTTATGATGGATGTCTTACATGCAGGGCCATGCATGGGGTGTTGAACAAAGCTGTTGATGACCTTTCCACTAACTGTATTATAATACTTCTTTTACACAAATATAAAGTTGAGGTTGAATTACAATGAACATTAAATATGAAAATCTCAAATATAAAAGTAGTGGATGAAAAATGACAGTTTAAAATGCAAGCACCACAACTAAGTGGCTGACTCATTATTCTATAGAATACACAATATGATAAAGGTGTTTGTGGTACATGAGCTCAAACAGAACCTCAAACTGCAAAATCACTGTCTATAATCTTAAAGAGAACAATGTGTTTCCTTCGAAGGTCATCAAGCATGAAGGTCTGTCCAAGGATATATCTGAGTGCACATTGTTCGACCTGCTGAAGTACAATGACATTAACGATGATGAGCACCTTACGAAAGAAGAATTCTACACAGCCTTCGGTGAGTATGGATAATTCTCTGTAGCACAGCAGAAAAAGAAAAAAAACATCCTTGTGAAGCAAAAAAGAAGCACAACACAATTCATAGCTGCAATGTCACTTTTTATCAGCCCATGTAGAGAGATCACATATGACAGAGAAATATCTCGTTTGTGTGCCTCCGTCAATACTCCCTAATGATTCTTGATTTGTTCCATTAAAGATGTTAAGACCAATTTGATCCTGGGGCTGCAACATTGTGCTAGACGTGTTCGAATCATTTTCATCCGTTTGTTCTAATTTATTTAAACTGATCAGCATGCAACAAAAACAGGAGGTGTGACATCTTGAAATTGCCTTCAGTTAAATTTCCTCGACACCCTTGCGTGTCATTCTAATACTGTGATTTGTTTTTGTTTTAGATTATTTCAAATTATTCATATTAACTTCAGGATAAAACATGACCAAACACATATTAATATTTGTGCATTGAGTCCTTTTTTCATTTCTTGGCCAACACTTTCTTATGTAATTGCTAAAAAAAAATATGTTTTATATCTTGCCAAAGTTTGCTCTGTGGGATCCACTGTTAGATGCCAGATGAGTGGTGTTGTGTTGGTCTGACAGTGTTTCATCTGTTGATGGAGATGAATCAAGAAGTTCAAAGTGTATTTGTTTCCAAAGAAAACGGGTCATAAAAGCTGAAACAGTAGTTCAAACCAAATCCTTCATCATTACACAACATAATGATGACAGGTGCTCTGCTATATCAGGGTCACACAAACACATGTGCACTAGTTTCCTTCCTTTGTTTCCTCCCCATACTCTAGTTGATGCCTCCTCCTTGTCTGACATTTGCAGTCAGCTCAATATCCTTTGACAGAATATCCTCTGACATTTGGTTGGCTTGACACATTTAGCAGTGGAAGACAATTTATAATCAACCTTTATCTCATCAGCCCTTTGTATGTGAATCATTTCTTGGAGCAAAAAAACAAGTCATGAGAATAAATGGCTTTGTGGGTGTCTCGTCTACTCCACTTCAGTTGTTTGTGGGTGAATTTGTGTGTGTGGGTGGAAAGCCCTTCTGGCAAGTCATGAAAAGAAGGAACCCCAGCCAATCTAGCGGGAGCTGAGCTTTCTTTAAGAGTTGAGTTGCTTCAAATTCTTCTCTTTAAGTCAACGGAAAAATCCCATCTTAACTCCTGAATGAGGGAACAGGATATTTAATAAGTGAGGCAGCTTCTCTAAATGTGTCCTATCCAGCTCTGTTTGTTCCTCTCCTTTCTTTACCCCAGATACCACTTTGTTTTATTACTCAGCGACAATAAATGGCCTTCATTAAATGAATATATAAATGCCTGAACTAAATCATTAAAACTGTTCCTGAGAATTTCTTTTTCGGACACTATTTATATTAACATATGCAGACTAAGTTGAACAATGTGTTTATCGTGACATTGCCAACGATTTAGAGAGATGCTTTGTGCGCTTATCTCGAATACCATCATCTTTAACTATATGGCGCATTGAAACTGGCATAAAACATGTTAAGGTTATTGTAGCTCTAAACCAGCGTTCTTTTTAATAATGAATTCTCCAACCTGGTAATTAGGAACTAGAAATCATTTCATTCTTTTGAAAACTCCAGCCCTAAAAGCCTGTATGGCCACTTTCAAATCATAATGTGGACAGATGTTCATGTTACTCTTCTTAGAGCAACTGTTTAGCTATTAGAGTTTTGTTGCAAGATTAAAAAAAAATACATAAATGTAATGCCTGAAAAAAAATATATATATAATGTATGTTAAGGGGGATCCTGTGCCTACTCTGTCAACACTGATTAAGCAGGTTTCTGAAAACCTGAGGTATGCACATGATTCATTCCATGCATGCCACTCTGTTGTGTATTTTGACTAAAGACAATTTAGACCATTAGTAGAGTTTTTGAACCTATTATTTGACAAACAGTTGTTTAAAAACAATTCCACCATATATTCAGTTTGCCAGAAGCTCAGCTGCCGAATCCATTCCACTGTCGCTTACATTACACCTGCAAAATAAAAAATAAAAAACAGCAACACTATTACAGGAGGGGTTTCATTGGATTTATAAGGAAGAGGACAGCATAATATTAACTATACTTACAGTAGAAGACATATCATACAAATGTTCATATTTTATCACTGCCTCGGACAGCCGATCCTCCAAACTGTCCACACCTGAAACTAGGGGGAACTTCCAATCCGGAAAAGAAAAAAAAAACGGAAAAACATCTCTACTTTTCCTATTTTATTACTTATTTTAACTTTTTTTGGACATAGAGCAAGAACAAAGCTGTGCCCTGAAGATTTGTTGAGAGCAAGCAGTGAGAACCCCCTAAAACAGGTGTGTGAGAACAAAAATTGCATAATTTTCTCCTAGACCTGTGGGAGCAAGAAAAAAATTCTCACTTCCCACAAAGTGTGTAGCTGCTTTAATCGGAATAAAAGGAAAATGTAGAACAAATTATTTCCAATATTAAAGGGACTTTAACTGTCATTGTAGAAGGTTGAGCAGATTGCATTTTGCAGCTTAAGCATGAATCTGGAAGTATAAAACAGTTATTTTCTGAGATCACATTTACTGCTTTTACTGTACACATTTATAAGAAAAATAAAGATTAACCTTCACCAGAAAACATCTGGAATCTACTTTCTGCTTCAGAACCAATATTTGTTTGTTAATCATTCATACAAGGTTTGAACATAATTTACAGAGGAACATAAGCAGGGAAATAAGACTTATCTAATATTTCTATAGCTTGCAGTCCTGCAGACAGTAACCTCCTGAGACCTGTAATCATCTAACTACACCTATAAATATTCATGGCAGGAAATAAAAGCTAATTGAAAAAGCTGTACTTTTTTATTATGTTATCAGGCTGATTAAAGAAACACCAGTCAATCAGATTTACAGAGCATAGCTAATCTATTTTATTACTACTGCTGCTCTTTGGTACACAGGTTTGCCTCTGCTATATAATGGGAAAGTGTCAGGATATGTGGAGGTTTGTAAAGGGCCCAAAAGCAGAGGCAGCTGCAGTTCTTGTTGTTTTATTTGATTTGGTAGCAATATAAGAATAAATCTGACCATTAACAGGCAGGGAACTCAGGAATCAAAACAGGGAGACACTCAGGAGAAACATTCAGGTGATAGAGAAGAGAATCCAGCAATGAGTAATTGCAGAGGAGGAGTATATATGCTAAAAAGAACAATGAATGGAGTAATCAACTAATTGGTAGCAGGTGTTCAGTGAAGGGGAAGGAAACCTAGGACCAATCCTAACCCGCCCCTATGCACTAACCCTTAGCTATCAGGTGTCACTCCCAGTGAAGTCGCACTCAAAGCTTTGGAAGGCGCCTTGATTGAATGTCGGGAGAATAAACTTGAATGGGACGGCTTATTTCTTGCAACGGAAAAGGAAAGCAGTCATTGATATGACAACACAGTGACACCCCATGTGCATGGCTGTAGTTCTGTGGCCCACATAACATTAAACATTTGCCCCTTTCATAAAGGAAAGGTATACAGTCAAATAAAACTATTTTAAAGAGGATCTTTCATTTTGGAATTGATTCCGTTTTTTTTCATACACTAACTTTTGATTTTCTGTCAGTGTGATGAAGATGCAGCAAACCAGCGGTATTTACATTTAGCAAAACATGTTTCCTCAGCCACCAGGCCACTGTTACACCTGCTGCCGAATTCCTGCGAGCCTACGACTGATTCATACTCGCTATTTAAGGGCTGAATTCTGCACTCTCCCCAACCACTACATGGTTTGGGACAGCACTCAACCCTCAGTATCTGTGGGATTGCGCAAACGGAGGGTTAGAGCTCAGGGTTAGTGATTAGGTGCTGGGATAGGACCTGAGGGTAAAGGAGAGTGGTACTAGGGTTTAATGACAGCACCAAATAATGAAATTGGGAAATACAATAGAGCCAGAAAGAACTAAGATGACATAAAAGGGAAAAGAAATAGACAAACTAGTAACTAATGTGCCATCGAAGATAATCTAAAGATAACAGAAACACAGGAGAAAAACTAGACCTAAAAATAACAAGGAAGAGTTACAGAAAAAAAATGAAAATTATCAAAATCTTGACAGCAACATAAATAAAATAAATCAAAGTGAATGTGAAAACTTTAACAGAACCAAAAAGTCCGGAACGCCATATGATAACAGGAAAGCAGCATTTCTTTTTTCTTTTTTTTTATCTGAGTGGGATGATGCACAGTTGCTGATATAATCCAGTAATAGGTATGTATACTTTTAGTGAAACCACTTAGGTTACATATGTGATTACACGTAGAGTATATTGGAGATTTTGTTTCCACCCTCACAGACTGTTATTAATGTGTCCAAGGCAGAAATACTTGGCCTGAGGTGTGATTGTTTAGTTTACTACTGACATAATCTCCAAGAGGCAGCAGTAAAATGCTATGCAAATACCTTAAATGCTCCCATAAACTGTGCCACATCATAAAGTAAATCAGGGAATTCAGTGTATTTAGAATTATGGTACCATCTGGAACAAGATGGCAGTAAAAACTGTAATGAACAACCATGAAAAAGGTCCCTGCTTTTTTGATCTGCCCAAATTTTCCCCATTGCAGAATTTCATTGGATATTTAAAGCAGGGCAATGTTGCTTGTAAGGACAGGAGTTAAGAATTAAATGCCTATGCATTATTCAGTCCTCCCATTGCAAGGAATAGAAGAGGATTGGCAATCAGTTTGTTTCAGCTAGTTGTGAGAAAGTGTCTTACATAAGGTGATGACTTTTAATTAGATGGTGTTAGAGATATGAACAATGTCTATCACACCACTTATTGGGAGCGCTTGAATAATGTGTTGAATTATGGTTTAGTGTATTATGGGCAAAAAGCAAATGTCATCTATTGCAGATTATCATACTCCAAACAAACATTAGTCACAGACCAAGCAGTAAAAGCAATAGTATATGCAATGTATGAAAA